GTTTTGGCTAATGGCTGCTTGTGGCATCTATGAAACCCCTTTGGAAGCGAACCCTATGCAAGAGTAACATTTCAAAGGAAACTCTCCTGTCACCAAAGGCTGCCTCGGCTAGTCTCTCTCACCCTCTCTCGCTCTGTGTCTTTGGCATGTGCCCTGTGACATGTCTGTGGCATGTTGGCCTGCGGTGCAGAAGACAAATTCGCAATATGTTTGCTGCATTTGAGTCTCATTATTCCTTTTGTATTTGATTCGATAATAACGTTTTTCAAAATGACATTTCACTCGACTCTCGGGGGTAGCTATAGAAATTGATTTGACTGCCAGGCGAGCCCAGGCCGGGGCCCTGGTCGTAAAGAAGTACGCATATTTATGAAGCGCATAAAAATTATTGACATATATGGAGTCATAAATACCCACGCATATGTACGTCAGTAAGCACTGTATGTCCATAAAAAAAGAGGCAGAAGGAACAAGCGAAAGAAAAGCCAACCGAAAATCTCTAAAGCATTTTCATTTCGTTTAGAGCGCCGAGCGGAAAAGCGAAGCAGCGAGCCAACATGTTTGGCTCCCATAAAAATTGTGCGCTTTGAAAGGCAGCTCGTAAATGCAATTTGATTTTGATTGGACTTGGATTAAAAGCAAATAAAGGCGACGTCTCTCTCCCTCAAACGCAAAGCCTCGACGGTTTGCTGAGTAAAACACATTTACGACTGCTTTTTGGCTTAATGTGTGCGTCCCGCTGTCGCATTTGACGTCCCCCCCACCACCACCAAGTCGAGCGTAGTTGACAGTTGCACCTGCAGTTGCCACAGCCACAATTCATATGTGTCTGAGAGCTGACAGCTGATAATTTTAGTAGTAGAAACTTTTGGCGACCTTCCGACGTCCTCAACAATATGCCAGCGATTAGCTTCCGTTCAATTTGCAATTTATTAGCATTCATAGAGTAGGAGCAGGAGTAGGCATCGAAGCAGGAGACAGCCAGACAGCCAGACAGCTAGACAGCCCATGGCAGCTCCGGAACACTCATAACAATTTATGCTGTCGCCGCTCTGCATGCTTCTGGCGCTGCCTTTTATGGCCGTATGCGTAATATTTTTATAGACTTTGCTCTCGGTCGTGAATGCTGTGCGAGACAATTGTAGACTAGCGAATGGAACTAGCGAATATGTTTTGCAGCAATTGCCGTCGTAAATGTGCCGCAAATCGTCTGAGCAGAAGCTGTTTTTCGGCCTAATCGGCGTAGCGCATAAAGTATTCGGGCATAAATTTGACTACAAATCTTAACAATATTGAGACAGCCAATTAATATGTATGTGTGCATATTTATGTTAACTGATTTTGTGGCTTTTATGGCATTGTTGTTGGCGAGCGGGAGCAGCAGCAGGCGCCACAAAGTAGCCAAACATTTTGGCAACAGCAACTCAAGTGGGGAAATGACTAATTTAATTCAATTAACACAGCCGCATGTCAGGTGTCAAACCCAATTTAATTATAGAGCAACAAAAGCTGTGCACAAATAAAAGTAGAAGAAGCTGAAAGTCAATCAATCAATTAATTAATTCATTTGTATATCAAACTCTGAAGCTGAGATAAAATTGCCAATGCAATGAAAGTTGATGTCAATTGCAATAAAAACTTATAAACTGCAATTCGAGTCAATTCTTAAAAATCAACAATTTTATTGTCTCGCATTTCATTTCACTTAAGCTGCACAAAGCTGTGCAATTTAAAGACTCGGGCCAAAGGATTTAAAAACCATAGACTTAAAGGCACTCAAAAAAGCAAAAATATATATACGTAAAAGTGGCCAACAACTAAAGATGAAAAAAATACAACAAAAATATATATATATTTATATATGTATGTATATATAAAAAGTATTCAAAAAAGAAAAGCGCAAAAAAAAAATGTTGCAGAATGCGGAAAAAGTTCGACAGCGAGCGGCAAACAAAATGCGAGCGATACAGAGCGTGCGAGAGGCATGGGCACAATAACAATTCAAGCGTATACAAGTCGACTTCCGGTTTGGCAAGGACATTTACCCGAATTCAGCGCAATATATGCAAAAGCACAGAGAGTGTGAGCTAGAGAGAGAGAGAGAGAGAGCGAAACTAACATGCATGCATATGTATTGTCGCCAGTGCTTGTAGTTCCTGTTGTTGTAGCTGTTTTTCCCGTTGGCAAACAAAAGACGCAGATGCCTTTTGCCTTGCCTTCGCTTTTCCTTCTTTTTTTTGCCTTTATTGACGCTGCTGGAAAAGCTTCAGTGTTTGCTTTTGTCCAAAATGTTCTTTAAATCGGAAATCAAAAATAGCTACACTTGTGGGGCAGCAGGAAGCGAAGGGCAATCGGGACAATGTCATTGGAACGAGCCATTTGCATTTGCCATTGTTGCGTGAGAGTTAGTCAAACACACACACACACACGCACACTCATGCATATATGTAAAATTGATATGATTGACTAACTGACAGATCAATGCATAGCCTGAAACTTAATAATAGGAAAATGCATTTGAAAGCTCTTTTTTGGCAATTCACTTGAGACTTACAAATTCTGTTGATTTACTAATTTTACAATCTAACAAACGAAAAGATTTTCATAGCAGATATATACATAGATATATGTAGCTATCATTTGCAGAGTTTTTTTTTTTTTTCTTATTAAATAAATATTTTGTTTTGGCACTTTGAAGAATTTAAAGCACTTTTTGTTCATAGTGTTTAATGGGCTGCGGCTGACAGTTTAATGGGAAATGCAATTTATTCAAATACATGCGCAATTCGTGCGACAGCTGACAATTTGTTCACATCGAACATACAGATATGAACATCAGCAGCAACAATAATAACAGCAACAGCAACAACAACAACAATAATAACAACAACAAGAGGTGCAGCTGAAAGCGCATAATTGTAAGAAGTGTCGGCAAATTAATTGGACATGATATTGAAGTTGAGAGTTTACTGGCTGACAGGCACATTAAAGTACATGGCGTGTGTGTGTGTGTGTGTGTGTGTGTGTGTGACCAGCACATCAGGCAGTCTAAGCAAATATTAATTAGTTTAATTAAGTAAATGCGTGCTCAGCGCTTTGCGCCTCGCTTTCAATGTCTCTCACTCTCTCTCTCTCTCTCTCTCTCTCACTCTCTCTCTCTCTTTCTCTCTCTCTCTCTCTCTTTCACACACACACATACTCACTCATCCAAAGTACAAACAACGCGCAGACAGCGCGTCGTCGATGAAATTAACATAATAAGTATGTGTATATACACACGCACACACAAACACAAATAAACAAACACATACACGCACACATACATGTTTGCTTACATGCAAACATGATTACATACAAATAATCGCAGTAGCTCGAAATATCAAATTGTTGCCAACAATTTAGAAACAGTTATTGATTAGCTTTTTTCCAAATTGTTAATTAAAGACATCGAAATAACAAAATATAAATTGAAATAAAATACTATTTAAATTGACAATTTGCTACTTGGTATGACAAATTTATGAATATCTGAAAACAAATATATATAAAATAAAATATTAAAAAAAAAGGAAGAAAAGCTATAAATAATAAATAATAAAAATAAATAAATAAATTTTATATATATTAAAATACATTTTTATTTATTATTTATAATATGATAAATATACATATAAATTATTTTTTTTTTTTTAGTACATATAATATTATTAAATTTATAAAATATAATATACACTGTTAAATTAAAAATTATATTTTTTAATGTATAATATAATTTAATTCAATATTTGATATAATTTTTTTTTTTTTTTAATTTTAATTATTTAACAGAACACAATATGTTCCTTAGATTCATAATATTTAAAATTTATATAATAATTAAAATTATTGTAAAATACATTTTTATTTATTATTTATAATATGATAAAAATACATATAAATTATTATTATTTTTTTTTTTTTTTTTGTACATTTAATATTATCAAATTTATAAAATATATTATACACTGTAAAATTAAAAATTATATTTTTTAATGTATAATATAATTTAATTAAATATTTTATAGTATTATTATTATTTTGCTCTAAAATTTTAATTATTTAACAGAACACAAATTGTTCCTTAAATTCATAAAATTTCCATAGCATACTTTTGTGGGCTGTCAAGTTGAGGCACATTTTAGTTGATTTCACATATGAACAACTTTCACAGATTTAACACGTTCAACTTAAAGTTTAATGGTAACGTGCACCGTTAAAAGTTGATCAAACTTTTGTAAATTGAAATAAAAAAATATTAAGTTACTTACACAGCGAGACAGAGAAAGAGCGAGAAAGATAGAGTTAGTGAGAAATAGTGCAGTGCTTTGCCTTTTACGCACTGCTTACAACATTTCGCTATCTAAGCAAGTCTCTCTCTCTCTCTGTGTGTGTGTGTGTGTGCGTTGGTGCTTGCAAGTGTGAGTGCAGCGTATTTGTGTTGGCCAAAGTTAAAAGTAAATAAACAACATTTAAAGCTTGCACTTTGGCTACATTTGCCGACGCCGGCGATAGTGTCCAGCAAAGAGAGAAATGTCAAAATGTCATTTGATTGAAATGGGATATCTCACTCACAGGCGCCCGCCAGCCAGTCAGCCAGCCAGCCAGCCAGCCAGCCAGTTCCTTTGCCATACATTTGTCTCTGTCCGTGTGTGTGCCTGTCCTTTGTGCCATAGAGCAGACACCCTGCGTACTCACGCCCCCTCGCATTTTCGGACTGGACTGTGTTTGCGTTTTGTCAATGTCTCTGCATAAACTTTGTTGACAGGCGCTCATTTGTGCCGGACTCTCGAGTTCAACTCTGACTCCGACTTCGACTCAAATTGCAATGCCAGTTGGAGCAGAGCAGGGGCCGCAGCCCCACCCACTTAAGAAAATTTGTTGTCCAAATATTGAACGAAGAATGAACTATGCTAACTATTTACAATAATATGTATGCGAATGTTTTTTGTCTCCCTTTGCAGATCATGTGCGCGAATTCACATGCGGCAAACTCTACTACCGCACGTTCCACTTGAGCGAGGAGCGCGACTCACTGTATGTGGGCGCCATGTAAGTATCCTAGTCTGATCTATAAATGCTGGCCCAGCTTAAATCCGCATCAATTCTGTTCGCAGGGATCGTGTATTCCGTTTGAATTTGCAAAATATATCCTCATCGTATTGTGATGTAAGTATGAATGCATTTATTGCTACCTATTTATTTATAATAAACTGACAAAAGCAACAACAACAGCAACAACAACAACAAGCGAGAGCAACTATGCAGAGCAATAACAATAAGCATACATAATCCTGGCATTTGCTTTTAGGCTAAGCTCCCACGAGCTCCGTTTGTTTTGCTCGCTTGTCGAGTGGACGACTGGATGTTGCTATTGTTGCTGTTGTTGCTGTTGTTGCTGTTGTTCGCAATTCCCCTGGCCACAAATCTAACAAGCAGCGAGCGCACATAAAACGTGTAGCACGCTTTTAGGCAAACAAGCTATGCCACGCTGCGGCACATTTTTAAAAATTCATTACGCGCCTTCCGCACAAACTTTTCCATGCACACAAACACACACACACACACACACCCACACAGACAGGCATTTATGGATGTGCGTGTACACTAGTGTGTAGTTGCCAAACAGCCGCTGCTGGCTTAAGCCGCCTGTCCTTTTAGCCTAATACTTTTTATCGTCGGACGTTGTCAACACACTCGGCTCACAGGGTCAAAGGATGGGCATGTGGGGGCCGAGCGGTCGCGCATCAAATGCGAGCCACAAATCTTCGATTCCCCGATGTAAGCGAGTGAAAAATATCTGTTTTAGTTACTCAGCTACCAAAATCCAACTGCCAACTGGCAACGTGTCCCTGTCCACCTACCGCAGCCGGAAAACAAAAAGAGCCCAACCGAAACAGAAGCAGAAGAGGGAAGCATATTTAATATGCGCTCTGGGGGCTGCATTATGGGCATTCCGCTTTGCCATGCACGAGCCCAGATTCCACGTTTCGTGTGGTAATGGCTCAGTGCCGCATAATTTATGTACACTGCGCGAAAAACAACATATACATAAATGTATTCCGCAATATTGTGAGAGAGGCCTTTAGGTAAAAAACTTGGAAAGTGGATGAAATAATTCAATGAGTAGAATAATAATATGATTTAAAATTTAAAAATGAATTAAATATTTAAAAATAGAAAGTTAGAGATTTGTTAAATCCAATGAATAATAATCAAAAATATATAAATAAATATTTAAAAAAAACAACAAATCTTTTAAATCTAATAAAAATAATATATAATAAAAAAAATAGTATAACACTTAAACAATAATTAAAAACTAAAAACTAAATGATATAATATATATAATATTTGAAAAATATATTTTTGCAAATAATTATAATATAAATAGTTATTTATAATAAGTGATAATAATAATGAACGATATACTATATCTAAATAATGTTATAAATTCTAAAAAATATTAAAAAAGAAGATTTTTTTAGTAGACAAAAAAATATATAAAATAAAATATATAAGAAAATATATATAAAATAAAATATATGAGAAAAAATATATAAAAAAGTATATATAAAATAAAATAATTTTAATTAAATATGTATATATAAATTTTAATACTTTTTACTTTTTTATGTATTTAAAAGTCTAGTGTTCCTTCTCCATTCATTCTAAAGATCAACTTACTGCCAGTTAACGATCCACCGTAGCCAGTGTGCACACACATTCAAATATTTTGGCAATCTTATAAATAAACTCTGTTTTGTTTCTGCTCATAATTTGAGTTGAATTTACGTTTACTTCACTGGAATTGGCTTTTAGAAAAATTAAAAATCTGATTTATGTGCAATGGGAAAGAAAACAGAAATTCTTATAATTATACATACCCAAGATTAGGTTAGGTTAAAATATTTATTTCTGATAAGAAGAAGAAAAACTAAAAACTATAAAATAATTATGTTGGAAAGAAGAAGATGGAATTAAATGTAAAATATTGTATGCAATTTTATATTTTCTATAAGCTAGCTGTAGGCTCAATAGGTGTGAATGTGCATGTGTGTGTGTGTGTGTGTGTGTGTGTGTGTGTGTGTGTGTGTATGTGTGTATGTGTGTGTGTGTGCTTGTGAATAATTTGGCCATAAATGCCAAAGCTTGCGAATTATCGAAACTCGTGAAAGCCGATACACACACCCAAACACACACACAAACCCTAACACACACACACACCCAAACACACACACACACCCAAACACACACACACACACCCATAGTAGAGGTGTGCGCGCCTGTGGGAGGCTGTTTATGAATTTATGTCATACAAAAGCTTGTTTTATGAGTGAAACGTTGCGCGCGGCTGTGACTGTGACTGTGGCTGGGGCTTGGGCTGTGGCTCTGCCTGCACCTGCAGCAGCTGAAACCTGGTCGCAAACGTATCATAAAACCGAAAGACGCTACGTTTTGCTGCCATTTCGAGACGCACGCCCATCTGGCCACCCGCCCACCAGCCCACCTGCCCATTTGCCCGCCTGCTTTTCAACCATATCCATCGCAGCCGAGCAGTCAGCCAGGCATTGCCAACCGGCATCTGTCAATATATTTTATGTGCTATTTTGCACACACTCACACACACACACACTCACACATACAGCGCGAGTAACTGCGTTCGCCCTGGGCATCATTTGGTAGTGGCCTACAGGAGTGGCAAGGTGCTTGCTGCTCGCTGCTGGCTGCTGGCTGCGACTGCGACTGCGGCTGCTTTATGCGGCAAATGCAAATTTTACTAAATAATACATGATTTTGGTTTTATGTGGACGCACAGCGCTGCGCTGCTCCACTCACTCTCTCTGCCACTATATATGCCTCGATAGGTGGTGCGATGTGGTTTGGTGTGGTGCGGTGCGTGAGCGCATTTCGCTTGAAAATATTTCGTATATGCTCGTTACATTACGTGATTTATAAATCAATTTGCTTGAAAGCATGCCACAGGCAGCGGCTTGGCCTTCTGGCGGTTTCTTATATCGCCCACAGCCACCGCCTCTAGTTGTAGTTTATGGCCGCACCACCGCCAAATGTAGCCAAAAGCGAAAAAAAAAACGCATATATGTATAAATATGGAGGAAATCGGGAAACCATTTTTGCTTAAGAAACTACTCCTAGACGCCTCCAGCGGCGACTGCATATAAATGCTTGAATGCTAAAATTTCAGCTTCAGGACTCGCCCCAGTGCAAATGCCATTAGTATGGAGCATTTGACGTTGAATTACAATTCACAGTTTACATCCGATTGAGTTTTTGATTAACACCTGCAGAGCAAGGCTGCCTAGGAGTGGATAGACTTCTTCTTGATGTTAGCTAATTTGTAGGGCTAAATGTTTATGTTTTTTTCTATTAATTGTATTTGATTCTGTTTAGTGAACCTTTTCTCTTTGGCAAAATTATATTAAAATAATCACAATAATAATTGATTGGATCTAAGCTAAAACATTTTATTCCGCCTTTTGATCTTTTGCGAAATCAAGCGAAATATGTTTTATATTTAATAGCTCTAGCTCTCAGCAGGAGTCCTCGGCTCTTTTCGTTTTGGGCTCCGTCAGAGCGCCTTACATTGATCTATTCGTGTGACGCTCTTTTCATGAAGATCATTCAGGGAGACATACGATCGACGTTCGCATGATGAGAGAGAGAGGGAAAGTCTGTGCAAACTATCTTCAGACTCACACACACACATGCACACACTAAATTAACATGCTTAGCGAACACAACTCTCCCATAAATACGAATACATAAACAGTAGACTCCAGTACATCCATTTAACTAAAACGAATAGTCAAGCAGAGATTATTGAACTAGAGATTTAAACTCCATTATCTTCTATTTTGGAATTCCCATATTTCTCTTAAGAGTATTTCAAATCATATACAGTAAATTTTTAGTGGAAAATTCGCCAAAGTAAATATAAAATTCACATTAAAATATTCTTTGAGTAGAATCATTAAATGTTAAAAAAATATGTATTTATATATAAATATAAAATATATATAAAATAAATATATAAACAATTTATCAAATTTTCATTTTAATAGTCCATACATATATCTTATATAATAGCCTAAGTTCTCTTTTATTTAATATATATAAAATGAATTTTCCTTTGTTTTCTTTTTTGTAGCGCGATGTCATAAACTTGGAGCCAACTCGCGATGATGTGGTCAGCTGTGTGTCCAAGGGCAAAAGTCAGGTAAGTGCAGCACGATTTACATATATAGTATACACTATATATACATATATAGCATATATTTACATACTATGTCTATGGTAAATAAGTTCAATCAACATTTTGCATTGGCAACGCTGCATAAGTCGCTAATGGCAGCTGCGATGTGACATGCTCAATGGTTGATTGATTTTTTATCATATGCTGGCAACGCAGCAGCAGCTACTGATTACACACACACACATATATATACATATATACAATATGAAGTAGCGTCTGGTCTGAATCAATTTCTTGTGTAGCTCGCACGCGAGTTGCTCCAATTTCCCCAACCGAATCCGATTCGTATTTCTATATAGCGGCAACTCCAACTCCGGAATCCACTGAGGCAAATGCAACGGCGCTCCGGTTGAGGCTGACGCTTCTGTTATTCTGGCTGTTATTGTAACTCGTTTATAATGTGACAGCAAATCCTTTCATTTGAAATCTCTTTCAATTTATTTGTGGCTTTTCAATTTGTAGCGAGTTTTTCGTGCGCTTCAGTTTCAGTTGCATGCCGCACACTGAGTCAGCCATATGCTGCATGTAGATGTGTGTGTGTGTGTGTGTGTGTCTGATTGTGGCTTGTATCTAGATGTCAATTGAACTGTTTTTGGTGCACACTTGCGCTCTATCTGCCCGTGTGTATGTGTGTGTGTGTGTGTTGCTTAAGTCATCATAATGCTGCTGCTGCTGCTCCTGCTGCTGCTGCTCCTGCTCCTGCTACTGCTGTGCGTCTGTGGCAGGGATTTACCAGCATTGCATTGTTGCCAATTGATTTAGCGGCAGTGGCTGCAGCGACGCGTGCTATTACAAATTGTACTATTTCTGCAACACACACATACACACACACACACGCACGCAAGTTTTGATTTATTTTTATGTGCGTGTTTGTGTGTGTAAGCTTGTTGTGGCAGAACTTTTATGACAAGCCACACGCACACACTCACACACACAGACACACACAAACACTCACACAGCGATATCATCTCCTTTTACAATTATTTCTCAATGCTTCTTTCCAGGTCTTTGATTGCAAGAACCATGTGCGCGTCATACAATCAATGCAGCAAGGCGATAGGCTCTATGTTTGCGGCACCAATGCACACAATCCCAAGGATTATGTCATCTATGTAAGTACATAACATGCTTTCATTCTCTCTATATGTATATGTATCTGTTGCTGTCGCAGTCGCAGTCGCTGCTCAAGGACAAGTTTTTTTTTTTTTTTTGTAGCAATGATAATGCAGCTACGCAACTTTTCAAAAGACTTTCCACAAATATCAAGCGAGCTCTTGTGCTGCGAGTCAATGTGTCTGTGTGTGTTTGGCTGTTGACTTTAGATCGCAATCCAGGAACAGTCACACAGAGAGAAAGAGACAGAGAGAGAGAACACAAAGCAACGCATATGGCCTTTTGTACATATGAACTGAATAGAGCTTGTTCTTTTACGTCGTCCTTAGTCGTGCAACTATATATAGATATACATACATATATACATACATTTATATATAAAGAGAAGTTATATAACTTTTGTGTTGACTACTTGTTGTGAAAATAGTCATTAGTGTGCAGCAGGTGCAGTCACAGAGCATACAAAACACACACTCACACACACACACAGGCAAACAGACACGGAATCATGTCAGGTGCACTGTGCTGTGCAATAAACCTTGCATTTTGATTTGGCAAAAACTTCAAGCAGAAACTAAAAACAATATTTGGCAAGTTTTTTGCACTTTGTATTCAGCCTTTCGGTTAGCTGGCATCAGCTCAACAATTAGCACAAACTTATTCGGGCTTTCCTTGAACGTGCTCGGACAAGCATTAAGTCGGCTCTGCACTCCATTCCAGAGTGCTAAGATAATAGCAAAGCAAAAACCTATGAAAATGCTATATAATTAAATGATTAGAGTGCTAAGGAATAAAGGAAATAGCAGCTAAAATATATAATTTTTTTATTATAATATGATGATGACATTATGTAAGGGAAATAAATAAAAAACATGAAATGGGCATAGGAATTAAAATAAAATATGAATAAAAAATAAATCATAATAAATCAAATGTGAAAAGAATTAAAAAATTACAATTTATTTAAAAAAAAAAAAAAAGTAAATAAAAAACTTTGTATTCTATAACGAGAAATATTTATATATATATTTTTTAATAATATAATTTTATTATCTGTTCAAATTATTGAAAATTATGATTTAAAAATATTTAAAAAATGTCATTGAAAATTAAAAACTTTCCAGTAACAAGTTCAATTAAATAATGCAAGAGAAAAATTATTAAGGTCTGGCGGGCCCAATAATATTTTTTCATAAATTTATTTATTAAAATCAAATTATTAAATGCAATTGCTTTTTTTTAAGTTCACTTTCTAGATTGATTTATTATTTATTTTTATGTTATATACTATAATAAAAAAAATAAGGAATACTTCTATTGCCACCTTAAAAAAAAAAAGTAATAAATATATAAAAAAAAATGACACAATGTTGCATTATTTGCAAATACATTTATATTTTATTGACTACTTATTTTCTACATTTTACATATATTCTATATACTATATCTTTCATCTTCCCTTCCTTGACGCATTCAGTCCAATTTGACTCACTTGCCACGCTCGGAGTATGTGATCGGCGTTGGGCTTGGTATAGCCAAGTGTCCCTACGATCCGCTGGACAACTCAACGGCCATTTACGTGGAGGAAGGTAACCCCGGCGGACTGCCTGGCCTGGTAAGTAACCCACTCATATGCATTGCCATGAGACGCACGTGAATCCTGTTCTTGTCTCACTTCTTGTGTGTTTTGCATCCTTTGCACAGTACTCGGGCACAAATGCGGAATTCACTAAGGCTGATACTGTGATCTTCCGGACGGATTTGTATAATACGTCGGCAAAGCGCCTCGAATACAAATTCAAGCGCACGCTCAAATATGATTCCAAGTGGTTGGACAGTAAGTAAAGAGAAGAGCAAGCCCCGGGCTGATGCGGCGGCTTTGGTTCAGCTGCTGCTTCTGTAGATAAAATTGAAAAAGCAAATAGAAACAGAAAGGATTCTGTGACGCGTTGAAAATGATTTCGCGCATGGGATTCAGTGTTTGTATTGGCACGCCCACTGGGGCGTTATGCCATCTACTGATGCGATACAGAAGTGGCAGAGGACTAAGGCTAAGCGGCTTAGGCCATCCAATTATGTAGATCGTTACTCACAGAGGCTTGGTCATCCCTCTCTCTCTCTCTCTCCCTCTCCCTCTCTCTCTGTTTGCAGAACCCAATTTCGTGGGCTCCTTTGACATTGGCGACTACGTGTACTTCTTTTTCCGTGAGACGGCCGTCGAGTACATCAACTGCGGCAAGGCGGTCTATTCGCGTATCGCGCGCGTCTGCAAGAAGGATGTGGGCGGCAAGAATCTGTTGGCCCACAACTGGGCCACGTATCTGAAGGCGCGGCTAAACTGCAGCATCTCTGGCGAATTTCCGTTCTATTTCAATGAGATACAATCGGTTTATCAGCTGCCCAACGACAAGACGCGCTTCTATGCCACGTTCACGACCAGCACCAATGGCCTGATTGGATCAGCCGTATGCAGTTTCCACATCAACGAGGTGCAGGCCGCTTTCAATGGTGAGTGCAGGACTTAAATATATATACATATATACATATAATACAAGGACAGAGTGGTTGGGGGTAGGGGCGGGGGGTTAGTCTATATGTGTGCATGTTAAGTGCTGTGTGCAAAATGGATGGTGATGAACGAACGTTATCCTGGTGGCCACAATGTTGCCAACTGTCAACGTCAAGTGATGTGCAATTTTCTCCTTTGTTTTCCCGCCCACGCCCCAAGTGCTTTCAGTGGCAATCGAAGTTGAAACTGAAACAGCAATAGGAATTGGAATAGGAATAGAAAATCGAAATAGAAATAGAAATAGCAATAGCAAATGGCAAATGCAACTTATCGGCAAATTTTATTTGCAAACGCCAGCACCTTGGCTTACAGCTGGCCCCCAGGCGATTCACAGCGCACACACCGGACGGGGACAGTTCGAGTTTAACAATAAATCCAATAGCTTCCACAGATCCAATAGTAACAGAGCGGAGCACAGAGCACACATAGCACTCAGCGTGTTGAGTGTTTTGTAATTTCGCTATTGCCGTGGAGCAACATAAATCGTATTAGAAAATCCATTTGAATGGATTATAGCCCCACACACACGCACACACACACACACACACGCACACACTCACTCGTTTGCTCGCTTAACGCTTAGCTGCACAACAGCTGACACTTTGGGGTCGCAGATTTGAAACTTCATTGCAAGCACTTGCCACACACACACACACACACACACACACAGTAGAGCAGAGCAGAGCGCTGCGTGCACCTGAAGTATCCAACTATGCCAGTTGCTAGTGCATAACTCTTAACCATAATCCTTTACACACAAACAAACAAACACACACACACATACATATGTATATATATACACATCTACATATTCATTTTTCTTATCTTATGCTTGTTTGCTTTGCTCTTCTTTCATTGCTTCTTCGTTTTTTTTGTTTTGCAGGCAAATTTAAGGAGCAATCCTCTTCAAACTCCGCCTGGCTGCCGGTGCTGAACTCTCGCGTGCCAGATCCGCGACCCGGCACATGTGTCAACGATACCTCAAATCTGCCAGATACCGTACTCAATTTCATACGCTCGCATCCACTTATGGACAAAGCCGTAAATCACGAGCACAACAATCCGGTCTATTATAAAAGGGATTTGGTGTTCACAAAGCTCGTTGTTGACAAGTAAGTTTTATTTCTACTTGTTATCTCCCTCTCTCTCTCTCTCTATCGCTGTCTCTTGTACAGACACACATACATACATACATGTACTCACATTCATTTAAAGTACTCTCTCATATGCCCTCTGTCCAGCCGAGACAGTTGTACTTTGTACTTTTTAATTCATTTCTGTGTCCCCCCCATTTCGATTCGTTCCTTTTTGTGGCTTTGGCCTGTTAAAGTGAAAATCAATGTACGAATATTTATTTTGTTGTTTATTCGTTTGCTTTAAATAAACCAAGTGTTGCTCGAATCTCGCATTTCCCACATTTGCTGCTACACCTTTCATGTGGCCGCAACAGCAACGAAAAGAAACTAAAAATAAAATAAAATAAATATAAATAAAATATATTTTCTGTTGAGTGAATTTCGTAGTTTTGTCTATTGAAAATCCTTTTAGCACAGCATAAATTAATGCCAGCACGAGAGAGTAAAAATAACTCTTCGATAGGATTGGATCTAATATCGAATGACAATGAGAAATTCAAATTTAATTAATCAATTTTCATTTTCATCTGGATATACATCAAATCCAAGCAATTAGCTAATGCACCAGCTGCTGGTATTTCATGGAGATAATTGATTCTTTAGCAAAGAAAGTTAAAAGCAAAAATATTTGGGTAAATTTAAATGCTTTGGGTAACTTTAAATTTTATTTAAAAATTTTAATTTTAATTATAAATTATAAATATGCATAATGGAAATTGGGATATGTTCTGTGTTTAATCAAATATTTGTTTTTTTTTTTTTTTATTAAATTAAAATGTTTTTAGGTAAAAGGTCGAAGTGAATTCTTAATAAATTATATATAACATTCTAAATATCTGTTAAAGTCAATCAGAGTTTGAATTCCATTCACAATGGATATGTTTCCATGAGCAAAAAATATAAAATATATTTACTTTTAACTTTAATTTTATTATTCATTCATATTTTTTAATTTTCCCTTAAAGATTTATTCAGCATATAGAAGCAAAATAATTAAAAGATGCCTTTAAAAGGCTTCGCAAATTTCCCTTTGCTATTTAATTATTTACAAAAATTATTTAACTATCCTTCTTTCTGTCTTCTGCTCGTTTCATTGAATGTAAAAATAAATCGTTTTTAATATGGCAAAATTTATTGATATTGACAACATTTACAGTCATAAATAAAATATATATTAAAAATTATTTATCTATTTTTAATGTGTGCAAAATTAAAATTACAAAAATTAAATGAATTATTTGAACATTAATATATTTAAAAAAATATATATATGTGATTCGCATTAAACAAGAAGTGAGTTTCTATGTGCATTAATTGCTGTGCAATATTTTACCTGAATTCATGCAATGCATTTTAATAACTGCATTTACAACAGTTGCAAAAGCAACAGCAACACGTTCAGGTGTTGCCAGCACGTTATTAATGCGAGAGAGAGAGAGAGAGAGAGAGAGAAAGGAGAAGTAGAAGAAGAATGCACACAGATGCGGCTATTTAATTCGTTAATATGCAGGCCATTTATCATATTAAATAAGCATTTAATTTCCATAACTGAAATCCAACTGAATGGGACAGCAGAAAGCCATTGATACACACACACACACACACACACACGCACATACATACACATAATGCATATTTAAATCTCGAATTTACGACTTTGCCCTTTGCCAGAATCAAAATCGACATACTGAACCAGGAGTACACCGTTTACTACGTGGGCACCAATCTGGGCCGCATCTATAAAATCGTACAGTATTACCGGAACGGCGAGTCGCTGTCCAAGCTGCTGGACATCTTCGAGGTGGCGCCAAACGAGGCCATCCAGGTGATGGAAATCAGCCAGACACGTAAGTCACTCTATGTGGGCACCGATCATCGCATCAAGCAAATCGATTTGGCCATGTGCAATCGCCGTTACGACAATTGCTTCCGTTGTGTGCGTGATCCGTACTGCGGCTGGGACAAGGAGGCCAACACGTGCCGGCCATACGAATTGGATCTGTTGCAGGTAAGCGGACACACTGCACGCACCACATTCCACACTGAGCTAATCCACCCAACTATCGAACGTTGCAGGATGTGGCCAACGAGACGAGCGACATTTGCGACTCGAGTGTGCTGAAGAAGAAAATCGTCGTCACCTACGGCCAGAGCGTGCATCTGGGCTGCTTTGTCAAGATACCGGAGGTGCTGAAGAACGAGCAGGTCACCTGGTACCATCACTCCAAGGACAAGGGACGGTAAGTGGCAGCGCCTGTGGCCCTCACACACAAACAATTGTACTGTAATTATGCATTTCTGGGCAGCTATGAAATCAAATACAGCCCCACCAAGTACATTGAGACAACGGAGCGCGGCCTGGTTGTGGTGTCGGTGAACGAGGCCGATGGCGGACGCTACGATTGCCACTTGGGTGGCTCGCTGCTCTGCAGCTACAACATAACTGTCGACGCACACAGGTGAGTGTAGCGCCACAACGAGGCGAACCGAGGCCCAACACGGCCCAGCTGAATAACCCTAAATTGACTGCTAATTACAAAACCATTTCTGTCGCTTCGTTTGCCCCGCTTAGATGCACGCCACCGAACAAAAGCAACGACTATCAGAAAATCTATTCAGATTGGTGTCACGAGTTCGAGAAGTATAAAACCGCCATGAAGTCCTGGGAAAAGAAGCAAGCGGTAAGTTATTATCCAGATTGAAATTATCACCGCAGGCAGCGCTAATGAGCGCCACACACAGACACAGAGAGAGAGAGAGAGAGAGAGAGAGAGAGATGGGGAGAGTCGGAGGTAGCGCCCGAGGCAGGCACATGCCATAATAAATGATTTGGCCGGCAATTATTTTAATAGCCTGCTGGCTAACTGACACCACAACGTCAAATCACAAACAGTGTAAAGTAGTTAAGCTGTCATTATCTAAACACCAACGTCCAGCAGCGGCTGCCTGGCTGGCTGCCTGGCAGGCGCAGCGGTTGCAACCAGGTCGCGTCTCAATATGGTTCGATTGACCAATGCCACTATTTTACATGTGTGTGTGTGTGTATCTCCATGTCTCTCTCGCTCTCACTCTCTGTCTCTGTGCGTGTGTTCAGGTGCGACCTCAATGGTTGGTAATTGCCTACGTGGTGGTGTTGGCGCCACATGTCCGGAACAAGCAATTAAAATGCAATCATTTGCCATACGTCATATTGGGCGAAGTATCTATAGAGTAATATGCTTATAATAGTTAACACAGCTGTTTACGGCACGCATTTAATACAACATTTGTCCATTTCTCTTTTTTTTTTCTTCGACTCGTCTCGTTTCTCACAGCAATGCTCCACGCGCCAGAACTTCAGCAGCAATCAGCATCCCAATGATATCTTCCGCAAGAACAACGTTTGATACCACGACAATAGCGTCACGGTCACCATGCCACACATCCATGTCCATTAAGCGTTTCTACTAAACCGTCAAGAGTTCCCAAAACAACAACAAACTGCAACAAATCAAATCAAATCAAATCGTATCGAATCGTATTGGAGGAGTTCATAAAATAATAATAATTATAATTATTGAGCGCCCAGCTTAAGTTGCCGCATCGTCATCAATCATTACGTATCACTCATCACTCATCATAGTTAAGCATAAACTCCTATAAACTGCATTTATACGAATATCAACTTACATATGTGTATAGAGCAAAAACACTTCCAGTACAGTGCATTTATTCAACATGCGATGAGAGCTGATGGGATATTAATAAATAATTCAAGAGACACTTGTCTATGGCATTTAGAGATGCAGATACAGTTAGTTACAGTTACGATTACAATTACAATTACAGTTGATAAAACAAAATAGCTAGCTACAAAAAAAAAAAACACAAACACACACACACACACAAAATAAATGAAATAAACAAATTTCCAACTGCCGCTCGCAAACGCAAACAATATTTAAGTGGAATTCAAATCACTTCATATCGTTATTATAAACATTTAAATCGAATTAAAGTAAATACAATTAATTAAGCATACTTATTGCAACTAAAAGTAACGCAACGTTTCAAAATGTTAATATATGTAATTCTATCTTAAATCTAACAACTAACGAAAGGCAAATGAAGAGCGAACGAACAAGTATTACAAGTACATAAACCTAAACACATACATATACATATACATATATAAATCACATTTCAAGCATTCGAACTCATAAGCAAATCAACAAAAATATATATATATATATTTAATATTATATCGAACTATAAATCTATATGTAATCGGAGAAGCAATGTGATGTTAAGTTTTGATAAATCTATTAATTGCCTACTTAAACGATATCCACACGCACACACACACTCATACACAATAATTGGATTCGCATTCATAAACATGCCAAGGAGCTGACGCACACATATATATATATATATATATATATATATATATATATATATTAATGAAAATCTGCTTCTCAACTAACGACATCAATAAGCAATATAAACGTATAAAACAAAGCGAAACAACACAAAATAAAACAAAACATTAAAGCTGAATTATATAAAAGTAATTTACACATGATTATAATATATATATATAGCAAACAATTTACATCAAATCGGTCCATAGTTTATATACGACATAATAATAATAATTATATACATTATGAAAAATAGCAAAAGCATTTCGTCATTTATGCAGTTACCATTTTAAAAACTCATTTCAATCCTCGATCAACCAAATTATTATCAACATTATCGATTTTATTTTACAATAGATTTTCACAGACTCTTGCCAAGCGCAAAATATGAAATTATGAGATCATGAATTTTTAGCATACTTTTCTATCTGTACTTAAGTTAAATCGACGACATTTTAGTTTCTAAGCGTTTAGTTGTAAAAGAAAATATTAAATTTTAATAAAAAATTATCTATAAAGTAAGCAAAAATATGTTTATTCACTTGACTTTTGCGGGCAATCGAAAAAATATAATCAAGTTTATATTCTAGATTAACTTTAAATGAGGAATATGATGGTGTTTGTGTAATAAACGGGTAAATTAGCTTGGCAGTAAAAAGTAAATGTGGTTGACAATAGAAAGAAAAGAGATGTATAAAATGAGGAAATGTTTATAATATTTTTAGAATTTTATTAAGGTCGTTTATAATATTGTTCATCAGATATTATTATTAATATGCAAAGATTTTCAATCAAGACTCGCTATGGTAAAATCTATATTAAACCCGATTAAAGAATTTAATTTAGGCAGTCTGTCAAAAACAGGGTATGTCACAGTCGTGCATTCAGCCTGCCGCTTGTCTACAAATTCTTATCAGAATCGCACAGCCCGAGGCACATTTTCATGCACAACTACCCCAAATTGTTGGCTTTGCAGCAACAAAACGCCAAAACACATTGAAATGGCCATAAGGAATTAAAGACAAGAAGAGAGAAGAAGGAAAAAAAGAAGCTAAGGCGCAAATAACAATCACAAAAGAATTAGAAAAGTTGCCGAAAGAGAAATTAAATCAGTGCGTTAAAAAAACCCGAGAGAAGAGAATAAAAATGAAAATGAAAAGAAAATAAAAATGAAAATGAAAATGGAAAGCAACAACAGCAAAAAGTACTTGAAATAATTTGCCACAGCTAATTTGACAGCAAGCCAAATGAATTATTACAACAATATATATATATATATATGGAGTATATCTGATATTTCTGGCTCGAGCTGACGATTTCATTTTCTGACTTCATTTCAGCACAAAATTGTGCGCATTTTAAATTTGATTTAAAATTTGTGAGTTTGATTAGAAATTTTCGAGCTTCTGTGAAATTTGTGCCCTTCATTTGGCCGTTTGGCTAATTAAAGCGCTTTGGCTTATGTGCTATATAAAGGTCGACTTTGCTGTCCCAATAAAACCAGGGCAGAGAACCCTCTCGAGCTGTTGCCCACTTTGCTGAAGCTCTACGAAAATGTTCGTCTTTGTTCTTAAAAATTATCGCACAGCAAATAAATTTTGCTGGAATCTGCGCCTGTCATTGTCGTTGTCTTTGTTGTTGTTGTTGCTGTTGTTGCTTTCCTGGCAGTCCTTGTAATTGTTTTAGCATCCTTTTGCTCGCAGCAGGGTGCCACAGCTCGGCCTGCCTGCCTGCTTGGCCTGGCCTGCTTGAGCATATTACCAAAAATGGTTGTCAACACTTTGGCGCAAAAGCTTTTAGAATTCATTTTGGCCGCCCTCCACTCTGGGGGCCCGGTTAATGGTGCTCGCGGCCATTTTTCCACGCTTTGTATAATTTCGGTGCTCATTATTTTATTGTGTCCAGCGCACGTTGAATATCCAAATTGCAAATTTTAGCTGAAACCCCTCGAGCAGTTAATCTCTTTTTGTGTTACGTTCAGAGTTTTCGCTTTTCTCTTCTTTTTTTTTTTTAACGGCATTAAAAAACAATTTCAACTTTATCGCACGCCGAGTGAAAATAAAAGAAAAATAATCGTCTATGGCATCTAATTGAATTTGGCGCCTGCAATTGCATTGAAATTTGATCAGTTAATATGGCCAAGAGGCCTCGCCAGCGCCCATCAGGTACAATTAATTCTGGGCTCTGCTGCATTGTTCGCTGGCTTGGTTGGCTGCTAAACCATGACAGGCAGCTGATGCGCAACAGACCGTAAGTGTTTGCCAGGCCCATGTACTACACTGAAATTTACTTAAGAGACACACACACACGCACACACACATGGCAAATAAGCCCGCAGCATTCGATGTCACATTGCGCATACGCAACGTGGCCCTCATGTGTGTGCTACGTGCTTTTCCACTGTTGTTGTTGTTGCTGCTGCCGTTGTTGTTGTTGTTGTTGTTGTTGTTGTTGTTGTTGTTGTTGCTCACACTATTCGACTTCTTCCGTGCAGACAATTAAAATCTGGCAGCATTTTACTTGTAAGCCGCTTAATAGGACTGCGAGAAGTCCTTTAGCACAGCTGCAGCATCGAATGCGACCCGAAAATGTGTTCATGCGTGAGCATCACACACACACGAACACACACACACACTCGCACGCCCACATGGGGGTCACAGGGCATGGCACAACTGAGGGAGGTTACACTCTCGTTGCGAGCGTGTTAACTGAAGCTAGACAAAGTGCATGGCCAAAAGTTGAGAGCAAACCAGCTAAATTATGGCTTAAACTTTGCTTTATGCCATTTCGCAGGCTACCTGGCACCCAACGCAGGCCTGCAGGCAGCTATACATTAAAGCCGCACTTAAAGCACACCTATGTAGCCACATTAATTCAATTTCAATTTTAATTTGGCCAAACTGAGAACGCAAAAGCCAAAGATTGCCAGCTGAATTGGGCTTATCGGCGGGCACATTGCATAATTCTGGCTGAGTGCGCAAAGACAAATGTTAATTTAAAATGAAATACTTTGAACTATTCAACTTGGGCAAATATTTTATCATCCAGCAAGGCGACATTTATGATTGTGCGACCTGGCCAAGCAGCTGCCTCGACCAAAAAGCTAAGCCACAAGCCTCTGTCTCTCTCTCTCCCTCTCTCTCTCTGTTGTCCCTTTGTCTCTGTTTGCTTTACTCTGTATGTCTGTCTGTCTGTGTGTGTGTGTGTGCTTAGCTGCAGGGCATCCATTTGCTGGTCTATCTGTCTTGGTCGTGCGTCTGTGTTATCAAGCGAACAGGTCAAGCGCAAAGGTGAGAAATAACAAAATTTCAAATTTGGTTTCGGGCATTTCAGCTGCTGCTGCTGCTGCTGCTGCTGCTGCTGCTGCTGCTGCTGCTGCATAAGGATTATTGGGTTAATTTGCACACCCTCAACGCAGACCTGCTCCAGATATGTCCACACACACACACACACATTTGCTTGGGCCATGCAAGACAAATACCAAGCTACAAATTCGCATTTCCATTTGAACACTTTTATGCTTCTGGCATTTGCCAGCTCTCAGTTCTCAGTTCTCAGTTGGCAGTTCTCAGCTCTCAGCTGGCAGTTGGCAGTTGGCCGACGTTTGTATTCCGTGTTCAAACATTTTGCCAAAGATAAGTCCACACTTTGCTGAACTAAAATTGAATTCCATTTGCTGCTTGACAAATACAAATCGTAATTATTTGTGCATGGCCCGGACGATAAGCATTATTAAAACTACACAAATTATATATATGTATATCTATACGTATATATGTATGTGAGTGCAGGACTATGCTCAATTTTAATTGCAAAATTCTAGCCATTTATTACAGACAGTTGGCAGTTTTGATATTGAGGCTTCCAGATAACGCAGAGATTAATTAGCAAAAGTAAATTTTATTTAATAATCAAATTGAATTCATTTGGAAACTCTTTTAGCAGCACAGATTATTGAATTCGTGAGAAATGCTTTGGGCGAGGTAGGAACTTATAATAGTTAAGGCTTACGGGATAATATTGTGTACTATTTTTATACAATTATATTTTTGTTTGACTCTAGTTTTTATCAATGCTAAAATAAAATTTAAAAAAATATATATATAGTTGTGTATATATATATATATTTTTTTTTTTTTAATTTTATTTTGAGCATATATATATATTCCAAGCTTTGCTCGACTTCAGAATTTGGGCACACAGAAATATTATATATAATTATGTATAATTATATATACTTTTAGAAAACATCTTGTATGCAGAGGATTATTTACAGCAGTCATAGGAAAAGCTCCAACATATTATGAAAAATAATTATTATTATTAGAATTATTCTTAAGAAATGGAATACAAATCATTCTCAAGGCTAACTATTTAGCTAAAAATCGAAAAATTAAATTGGCACTAGGTTATAAATATTAAATGCAT